TGTTCCTCCTAAGAATACGAAAGTGAGTCTCCACCGTCATGCGTGGTCGCCTGTAATTTTCTGATGTAAAGGTGAACATTTGCTTCTTAAAGGTTGGATAAGGACACGCTGAAACGTTGGAAGAACGTTTCCGTCTATTCACCTGTGTACTCCTTTCTGAAACGGAGACGTAAGTGTTTTTTGTACGAAAGTGTTCATACGTGCAGACACTTTCGAGAACCGCTTCTCCTTTATTTCGTGCTTTGACGCCTTCAAGCCGACCGGAACTACTTGGAGGATGGATCTTCTCGATGTCTCTTGTCTTGACTTGAGTCAAGACAAGAGACATAGGAAGGAAACACCTCACACTTAGGTTTATCAATTCATCTACCACTATACTAATACTTGCTACCCTAAAAATTTACATGAGTGAAGATATCAAGAACATATAGGTATAGGTATATTCTGATACAATGGAGGTTGAGGAAATTACCAGTCCTTTCTATAAAGAAGCCTCCATATATTTATATCTAAATGTCAAACTCTCCCTCAACCAGATCTTAACAAGTATTTATCGATGTAGGAACCTAGCTTTCAAAATCTATAAGTTGCTGATATTTAGGTCAGATATTCTTTTGCACATTATAAAAAATGTCACAATTGAGCAGGTATCTAACAATTTATGACTTAAAGGAATATTTCATTTAAAATTATTTTTTATTGTGTGATAAACTGAAAGGAAAAGGATATTGTTGATAGTTTCTCAGACAAAAAAAGGCAACTATTTAACAAACCTGTTGTTTATCACCCTGCACTAATTTGGGGAAATACTTGGCACAAAAATTTTCTCTGGTAATTTGTAAGCCCTGTCACAAGTCATCTTTCATCCACGTAGCTTCTCTTTTCTTGGAATAGCCTTTTACTTGTCATTATCGTTTTTTCTATGCTATTCACTACTTTCTTGACCTTTCATCCTCTGGGAATAATTTCTTTTTTCAGCTAATATTGATTGCTGCAGACCATACAAAAGCTTGGATTTCCAACCATCCTTTCCTGCAGCTTAGTGATTGATTCCAGTGTATCGGTGTCTCCCTTTGCTGCTTTTTCTTTGTATGTGCACCTTGGGATGTGGTATAGTCCTTTGGGCACAGGTTTCCGAATCAGGTACTATTTTTGCTGCTTGATCGTGGATGACTTTTTTGGTTCCTGAGCAATGTCATTACAACAGCCACAGAACGCAATGCGCTGATCATTTTCAAGTGACAATGGTGTAAATTTTGTCCAGCTAATGAAGCACACACATGTGGTAGCTGTGAGAAAGACTAAAGCTGTGGCACTTCTTAACCATTCTAGTAGTTCTGTTTACTTTGAAAAAGTCTTTCCTGACATAAAGGATTCGAAGGGCACGATCCTGCAGGATCATGTCCTTGATGCACAACTTGGCAATTTAGCTATAATTTTTTTAAGTTTTTTTTTTATTATCTTATTTTCAATAGATTGGATTCCCTCTGATGGGAATACTGTCATGAAGTATCTACTGTAATATGTAACGCTTTGACGTCTCTTGAGGTTGCTATGTCGCTTTCAACGCTCTGGTTGCTGATTGATCACGAGAGAACGACTTAATCGCCAGTTCCTAGAACAGGGATGCACAATCTGCTTCTTTAAGGGGCCACACTAACATTTGATGGCACTCACCCGGGCCGTAGAAGCTTGTGAATCTGAAGGTTTGTGAAAAAATGGACCGTGACTAGATCCGTCGTGAGGGTAGAGTGCCAAGTGACAAATTGCGTGAGGGCCGAAAGTCTTGCCACCGCAATTCGCAATTTGTGCCCTAGATGACCTCAAATCAGGACTCCTAGTGACAGCAGTCAGAGAAAATGTAAGGCGTTTGGTGGAACTCATGGAAATGGATGGAAGGTGAACAGTAGATGAAACTCAGATATTCCTATGTCGTGGTGCAGTCTGCACTATTCCACCTGATCTACAGCCCCTGCGCAATATATGCCTCCGGTAGATTCCGCATGATTATTTTACACCCGCATAGAAGGTGGAGCGGTTGAGTGGAAGGAAACAGCAGCGTCTTTGTGACGTAAGTTCAACGCCTGAGGAAATGGGACTCAGAAGAGCATTGCAACGGGTGACGAGACCTGGATGTACCTCCTCATGGAAACTGTGCACTGTGGCATGGATGGCAGAACAGGTCCCTCTTCCTTCTGTTGCACGGCGCCAAGCAAGTTAGGAAAATGTTCTGTACATCATTTTCCTCTAATGTGTAATGCCCTCCAGTTCAAAAACCTACGGTAAAAGGAGAAACAGTCACAGGGATGTTCTACGCCACTGAAGTCCTTTTCAAGCCTTTGAAGCTTTCCAGGAACATTGACCAAATAAACCCGGAGGCATAGCCAGGATTACGCAAATGTGGGGGGAGGGGGGCGGATGTATTTAGACCGGAGTTAGGGGGACTTGAACCAAACTTATGGGGGCTAAAGCCCCCCCCCCCTCGCTACGCCACTGAATAAACTTCAAGAAGGAAAGTCTCACATCTGTTCAACGAATCCCCTACTCACTTAGCTTGCCTTCCTGATTTTTTGCTGTTTCCTTTCTTAAAGGATATCTTACTCGCGTAGCGCTATGATAGACGGCATGCTATTGAATATCTATTTATTAGTGCCTGAACTGCATCGCCAAAGAGCAGAGGCTACCAAATTGTGGGTCGTGACCAGGCCCGCCCAGAGGTTTCCAGAGGCTTGGAGCAAAACTAAACCGGCGGCCCCTTGGGATCCCTTGATACCCGAGGCCCGGAACAGATTGTCCCCGATGCCCCCCATCCCCCCGCAGGCCTGGTGGACCCACTGAATGGTGGAAGGTTCAATGCGAGTGAAAGAAAGATTAGGAGCCACCGCCATAGAGGATGGTGGAGCCCTCGAAGTGGGAGAAGCAGTTGCAAGTGTGAATTGTATCAGATGGTGAATATGCTGAATAGGCTCAGTAAATTTTAATTTCATCTCTGGAGAAACAAATATCTGAGTCTCCTCCTGTTCTGAAACTTCTTGTCTGTACCGCATTAGTAAAGGGGAATTTAGAGAACGTGACAAATGGGACGAGAGGAGCGGGTGTACGTGAGAATTTCGGATACGAAAATGCCGAAGATCAGTCATATTGCATGGTAAAATGCAATTGGCACACTTTGTCAATGGTTCTCAATGTTATCTCAACAACGGCCAGAATATTTTTAAAATGTCGAATCATGCCAACTGACCAATGAGGTCATATTAAAGCCATAGATAGCCATCCGCTTTATGTATATCAAAGTTGGCAATAGTCTCAGCATTGGTGAAAAATCCCTTTCTCTCAAACTTCGTAGTACCCTGGGATTGTATCAGCTTCAACCATGGTGAGGGATTTGACTCGAGCGTAATCGTGATTAATCTGGAAAATTTTCATTAACCCTACCATGCTCAATGATTCCGTTTAGAACCACCGAAGAGTCATTTTACCCTTCCCTCCCAAAATTCTGAGGGGCTTATCTTGGAGACCGTTGGATCTAAAATGTCGAAATTTTAGATTTAGCAGTTTCGGATAACCCTCGGTAGCCAAGTTATTTTTTAAATTATAATTCAGCACTTGTATATAAAAAAAGGTCCATTGAAACGATGAGGTAAAAATATTCCAAGATCCTCGGTCTAGTAGGCCTTCAAGGGAATTTTTTTTACATGTAAATCCCAGACGATGTTGCGACCATCTTTGGACTTCTTGAAACTGTATAAGCCAAATGTGTTCCTTTATGCCTCATGTGCATTAATCTGACAATAGGTATTGAAAATGCCAGTTATGCCTATGCGTTTATATTGGGAATTAGACACGTTTGAGTGGTTCCCATTTTTCCATGCTGAAGGTTGATTAATGATCATTTATCGGGAGAGGCAGCTCTCTAAATTAAGATCCTTCTTAGCGAATCTGACCCTTTCTGCATATGGGATAGAGTTCCCTTTTCAAGTCACAACTCCATAGGAAAACGATAACTTTATTTGCGCATTTAATAGTTTCTCATTTTTACGATCTGGTGTAATGTTGGTTCGCCAGTGGGAACCGCTGGAGAATGTAATGCTATGGGCTCTAGAAATCTAAGTCTGGAGATGTAATTTTGAGAGGTTTTCGTTCCGGACGTGCGTCATGCTAAAAGGGAAAACATTTCTATCTGCATTCCATGTTGCTGGAGGAAATTCGATCCACACTTTTTCATTTTGTAAGGATAAAAGTAAGGTGTAGGTGTTTTTTTTTTTTAAGATGCAGGTTACGTAAGTGAACGTGTGAGATTTTGTAATGGAGGGTCATGCATACAAGTATGGTTCATCCGGCCGTGCACTTCCCCTTGCATTACAGGAAGCGAATTGAAGAATTCCATTCACATGACTACTGTGGGAATTCACACGACTACTGTGGGAATATCGGAATCAGTTACCGAATGTGAAACCAGTTCTTGATTTCCCTACATGAAACCGGTGCAGCGATGACGAGACAGCCCTGACTGGGAATTCGGAAGAGTTAATCTTCGGCTGATAAGCTGGGGGAAAAGAAGAGAGGAGGATGTAATTAACAGAAAATCACGAAGTATAAATATCGGAAGTATATGCAACCGGAAGTCATGGATTGGTTCTGGTTAGCTATTCTCTGACCCTGCCAACGAACATTTTTGAATGCCGCGTTGCATTAAGGTATCTTCGATTCGTAACACATTTTTCACGTGATATCGTATCCGTGGGGCCCTGGCGGTGATTGTTACCTTGGGAGTTATCTATCCATCAGTGGTATAAATTCCTGCGGCGGCTCACGGGCCGGTTAGTTGTTGACGCTCGCCCTCATCGGCGTGTCCTCACTTCTCTTCTCCTCATCATCGCCTGTTCCCCCCTTCCCCACTTCATCCTCATCTTCATCCTGCCCCCTCGTGTCGAATCTGTTTTATTTATTGTGTTAGGAACTTAGAATCTCTCAGTTGCCCAGTCTCGTGTATATTTCATATATATCTACTGAACTCAGATCGGTGCTTTCGAATGGAAGAGACAGCACTTTTGGAAGGTAAGGAGCTGCGAGGCTCCAAGAAGAAATACAAGGCTTCCGCGGTGCCGTCAGTGCCAGAAGTCGTCTTGACCAACGTGAGCGGGGAAGGGTCTTCCCGTCTTCTAACTTCGGACGGGGGTTATGTAAATCCGATTCCCATCCCATTGGATGGCGACGACGGAGATCCTCGTCGTCGTCCCGGGTTCGTTGAGAAAGTATTCAATGAACCGCGGAAGAGTTTGGTCGAGAGTTATTTGGAATCCCGAGACGAGGAAAACCCTGGTCTCAGGTGGAGGAGGGTTTCCATTTCTTCGGTGACGTCTGATGCTGAGCGCCAGAGCGACAGGTACTTGTACAATTGTACTATCGTATCGATCTATTCTGAGATCGTGGCATACCATCTCCAAGATGCAGATAAGAACTTTCGTAAACGAACACTTGTAGGTTTTAACCGAGAGGGGGAAGATGAAGAGGCTTTTTTTTTAATCGAAAATTCTTCTTTGTCTACAATTTTTTTTGTTGCACAAGTAGAGGATGTTATTCCATAACCCATATTTTATTATGAATTTAAAATTTTCGTTAAAGCCGTTTCTGTATCCAGCTGTTGACCAATGTGATTCTTGTTTCATTGAAACTGTCATCTTCCATTTCCTTCTATTGAATGCTAAAAATGAGCTCCATGGATCCGATGGATTTTCATTTGTTGCATTTTATAATTTTTCATTTATTGGACATGATTCTGACACATCTGAGGTCTGGATGGATTCTGACACATCTAAGGAAATTATGAAGTGCAAAAATCCTTTCTCAGTTGCTTTCAATTTTCACATTCCATCAGAGTCCACCAGATAAATTACCTTCAGAATCTTTTTTATGCTTTTTGGGAAGAGGACATACATCTGTCAATGTCAGTTTGGTTGCATATTACTTGGTGACAAATTGAGTTCTTAATTTTGAATGTGTTGGAGACTCTTTTTTATATTTCACAACTCCACAAGAATTGGTATTTTAGTCTCCTTGAGTACTGCATTTTTTTTCTGCTGCTGCCACAATCTGTCTCAAATCCCAAATATGATTTGAAGCTGATGCCCCCCTAGCATCTAAGTAGAGGGCATTCCTTACTTGTCTGCTAAAAGGTAAAGTTTAGAATGAGCTCCTTGTGATGGCATGTTGTTACATCATCCTTATAATGAATCTTCCTAGGAACTATTTGATTCTGTGCTCCACTTGGAATGTACTAAAGTATTAAGGGGTAATGCTTATTATGTAAGGAATTGAGGGAGGGATTGAGTGAATTGACGTCTAGGCACTGATCAAGGTTAACATGTTCAGGTATGTTGCTCTCAATATGTGGGAGGCTGGTTTACATCTGGTCTGAGGAGTTCCATGGTTTTCCCCTCTTATCTTTCATTATATTCTAAGAAAAAAGAATGTGGTATCTGGTTTGGGGACTTCCTTTGACTCATAAGGGCTCTTTGTGTAAGGTCCTTGTGTGTTGCCTGATTCATGATGATGAAGAATAATTGCCTGTTTTCTGTCATCACCCAAGAGATGGAGCTCTATCACCAGTGTATAATGCATATGGATGTATATTATCAGGGAATAATGATTGAGGAGAAAAAATAGTAAATGTCATTCATGCAAGTCAGACTTGAAATAGAAGAGAAATAATAATTGGTTATTTTTGCCACCTTGGGCTAGCTCAACAAAGAATTTAAAAAAATCAACCATTTTCAGCCCATATCCTGTTCATAGAAAGTAAGGCCACTTATTTACCTTGAAGCATGTTTTATTTCATGGCTACTGTATGGGATTATTCATTCACATTTGTTATTATATACAGTGTAGAATGATGTAGAACAGGTAGCTTCTATTTAGATCATTTTTATTTTTATTTTGTTTTCTTATAATAGAATGGATTTCATGCTGAAAATATTTTCATTGCCTAAGCTGGTAGCCTCTAGTGTCCTTTATTATCTAAATTTGGAATTCATATTTGACCATTTTTGGTTCCTTTGGCCAATGCCAACTACACATATGAGATCATCTCACTTGCAAGACTTTTTGTGAATTTTTACCAATACAATCAATGTTGTGGTTTAATAATTTGGTACAGTCATTGAAAAGTTTGAAAGCTACTGCTCTAGATGGCCTTTTGCAGTTGTATCTACAGCAATATGCAATGGCTTTCAGCATTCACCATTGACCCATATGTGAAGAAGTCGGGTGTTGTGTCCCTTTTCCCAAAAAATATTGATAACTTCACTTTGCCAAAAGAGAGGGCATTACCTTGAGTTTTTTTTGGTGGCCTTGACCTCAGGTATTTCCGATGCAGACTGGCATTTCTTCTCTGGTGTGATTTGGTGGCACCCTGTCTTGTTTCTGGTACTATACATTGCAGAAAAGTTTTGCCTTCCCTCTAGTTTCAATTCAGATGGGTTAGTGCCAGTCTCACTTGTTGATTGTTCTGGTCACTGCTCAGATACTGTAGTTTCCACATGATGCAGATCTTATGATGCTTGAAGCTTTCATGCACAATAATATGAATACTACCAATGCTTATGCTTTATGATAATGGAACCTTCTGTCCACCTCTGTGATGTTTGTCTCAGTGGCAAAGGCAGGTGCCTGGTCATGGCAGACAAGGTGTCATGCACACTCATCTAACCTGCAGGAAATGATAGAGCCCACCTATTTATCATTGGTGTTGATGGACAGCTTACCCCATACACAGGACTCATTCAACAATGAATTTCAACAGGTTACTTTCCACTGCCACCAAAGATAGGACAACTGCTGACTGTTGCTACCTGTCATGGTCTCACCCACTTGCATGCAGCCACAATGAGCAGGCCTAACTAGCACATGTGCCCATAGCACAACAATTCTCATTTCATTTGAGTGACCCTTATATGACCAAATCCTTTTTGCTTGTCCTCTTTGCTTCAAAATGGTTGCAGCCTTCAACTGCAATTATTTTCCAACCCAACTGACCCATCATCCTTCAAAATAGGTTGAATTTCTCACTCTTTTGGCCCAACATAGAAGGAATGCAGCTCCCTTGGTATGTGGTTTTAGTTAGTTCTATTTGCTGCATTTGGGTTTAGTGAAAACCCAAAAAAGCATTTAGGGAAGGTAGAGCGCACACTATACCTAGAACAGTGATCTCCAAACTTTTTAAGGCAAGGGCTTCACGGACACTTTGGTCCACCTTGAGTGGGCTGCACTAATAACATTAGTCCACCTGGAGTGGGCCGCATTGAAAAAGATGCAACACTTCTGCATGGTTAACCCTTTACCTGACCATCAATCTCTTGGTCAAGCTACTCTAAACCAGAAAGTCCAATTAAAAAAATGGTGCTGTTTCATTTCAAGTTGTATTTTTGATAAATATTCCTCCTTTTTTTCTCCTTCTTTTACTTGCAAGGAAAGACATTTTTTTTCTGCAGTATATAGATAAGTTTAGGCAAGGTGTCCATCTAAATATATCAGCATCAAAGTTTTAGCAAGTGTCTGAATATCTAAACAATGACTAAATTTGCTAGTTTTCAGCCAAGGATTCCAAATCTGGAATTTATAGAAATGTTCTTAGCAATTATTCTTGAGTGCTGATAAAATGTTTAAAATTGAGAAAGTCAATTATTGGTTACTCTTAGTGGGCCACAAAAAACCATAAAGTGGGCCACACTTTGAATAATACTGATCTAGATTGTCAAGATAGAGCACACACTATACTGGCACAGTTTTTTCATTTTCTGTCTTGTTCTATTATGTAATTTTTTTAATGGGCTCTTGGGTCATCTAGATAAATCTTCTACATTCCTTCCATTAGATCTTAGTTTCATTGCATGCTAGAAGTCCAGAAATGGGACTAGACTGACTTGAACCTTGTACAATTCACATGCCTAATATTTTTGGAAAATGATCTCTTTTGTCCTCTTATACCATCTTGCAAAATCAGTATCCCTTCCATTTCAATTTTTTTATTCATCCTGTATATAATGTCAAAAGATAAGGGTATTGAATGTTTATTAGAGTTTGAATGTGTCTGGTTAAAGGTTAGTCAGCCAGAAGGATGTCTTAAAGGAGACAGATTCAGAAGCTGAACCTGAATCAGCACCTGTTGCATCACCTACTATTCGGCCTGGATTTTCACATGATGATGCTCCACAATTGTCTGAAAGGGCTGCTACTGCTGGTAGGTTCATTTTGATTGATATGTTACTCTGTGGTTAGTCAAAAAATTGTTTAGGAAAGTAAATAGTTTGAAAAAATCAAGGAAAAGTGCAAGCTCTAACTTTAACCTCCTTGATTAGCTCTTTTTCTACCCTCTAATTAATTGGTTTTCAAGGCTATCCAGTTGCCACCTTTGATTTTCCTGAGAATGACTTATCCAGCATCTCTGTAAATCATTTTCCTGTTCCTGCTACAGTGATTCAGTTGCATAACCCTGTGTAGTTTTTCCAGAATTCCATTCAAGGTAATCCACTTTTCACCTTTGGTTTACCTAAAGGTGTCAAAATCCAGACATTGATCTTGCCATGATAGGCCATCATGTTAATTGCACATCCCCATTGAAGATCGTCATATCAATATTGCATCACACTGGACAAGAAAAATTTAGACCTTATCATATATCATCTTGTCCTGATCTTGAATTTCCTTCTATTTTCTGTGCAGCTCGTTTGGAGGGGTTAGATAATGCTGCAAAGAAGCCATCTGTGCAGTTTGAAATAGGTAAGTATGCCTCTCCTCTCCCCTTCTTCATTGGTTCTGTGAATTTCTTTCTTTGAATTGCTTCCATGATTGGTTTGGAATTGTGCTATGGAATTTTTAATCAAACCAGAGTCTCCATTTATTTTCCTGAAAGACTCTTCTTTTAATTTTTAGTGGCTTTTGTGTCAAAGACTGGCCTGAAAAAGATTTTTGCAGTTTTTCTTTCCAGGACAGAAGAAATTGTAAATTACAAGCCATATTCAAATTTCTTTAATTTGTTCTAACTGCAGTATGTGGATTGCTGCTTCACAGAAGCTTTAGTCAGTGACCTAGTGTTGTTCTCTCACTCACTATTAGTGAATCCAATGTTTCATAGTGACCAGGACTTGAAAATTGTAGTAGCTTTAAGCAGTGTAGGAAGAAAAAAATTTTTCCCCTGAACCTGAGGCAACAAATTGGAGATTCCCAGGAAGAATATGCAAGTGCACTATGTGAGCCACTGCCAACGCGTCTGTTCCTGTGAACCTTGTTCACATGTTTACGAGCATTTTCCTAGCCTGGCTTTAAGTATTTTTGAGAACAGCATTAGGAAGTGGGACCATGGTGTTTTGTAGAATATCAATTTAACGACAGGTCTTTTTGATATGGCAATTCATCTTTTTGCCTGGGGGCTAGTTTCATAGAATTCATTACCGGACAGGACCTGTTTGCACTGGCTGAGCTGAAGGCCCTTCAGATCTGATGGCCTTGAGACATCATGCTCAATTCAGGATCAATTACTGGTGTGAGGCTGTGTATTTCCCTACAACTTTATTATCTTTAACCATTTCACAGTCCAGTTTTTCTGAAACCTCTCTGGAGGATGATTTAAATTTCAGTGTGTGACTGTGAAAGGGTTAATATAATGAGAGGAAAGAATATAAGGACATATTGGTGTTGAATTAATAGGAAGTGCTCAATGATTGCTACTTTGCATGGAATGGACTTGATGAAATGGCCATCTGAGTTTCACAGTTATTCTCCAAACAAAAGAGAAATCACGAGAGGAACCAGGGCACTGGGAACTACCTTTAAGGAATTGAACATGAAACCTTTTGGTGCAGGTTTTAAGCCTTTGGGATTATTACTTGACTTATTCAGACTGTTTTTTTAAAGTGTTAAAAAAAAAAACTTGGTAGTATATGGCTTTCTTTGAAATCAGTAGCAAACTTCCCCCCTCCCCCTTCCTTGTCTTTCAGCTTCATCAATACTGACCCTCTTCCCCTCTTAAAATCCTGCAGGTACCACTGTCCAAAACAGTACAGTACTTGTTTCTATTCTGCAAAATAGTTCCCTGTCTCTGAAACAATCCTGCAAACAGGTCTCATCAGTGAAGCAATTTTCTGCATGACACTCCCAACACCAAGAAGCATAAGTGTTACATGGTGTTGCCCACATAATTCATGGTTAATAACTACTGCTTGTCTGCCATCTCTTTCCCCATTATGTTTGGGTATTGTCAGCTGGTTGCATCTTTTGGCCTTCAGTTCAGTCTGTCTCCTGATGATGTGCATGTAAAAAAAAAAGGACCCCTGACTTTATCTTGCTTCATAATGGTGGAGATCTTTTCCTCATTACCCCTTTGACTGTTATAACACAGGGGGGATGGCTGAAACGTTTTCATATAAAAATTGGCCCTGCTTGTCTAAAAACAATAGTTTATATAAGAAAAAGTCATATCATGATGACTATTGAAGATAGCAGTTACATGTATAAGTAGCTGCAAAATAACCTAGAAACAGTGAATGTTCTGAGCCCAAGAACATATACATACTTCCACTACATAAGCCAGAGTATGTACTCAGCAAACAGCCAAAGGGTTAAACTGCAGTATGCACAGGCTGATAGGTTTCCAAAAGTAATTAAATTTCATCCAGAAATGTTCTGCCAAAGCAAGAGTGTGAAATCACTTGAAAAAGAAAGTCTGAAAATGGATGGGCACCTGTGTTGGGGGTGAAGTGGAGGAAATGCTACATGTTTTTAAGCATGGTACAGTTCATTTTCTCTTATTAGTGAATGTAGAAGCAATAAGTATCAATGAAGGAAGTTTCATGCAAGGATCTTCAGAATTTTGCTTTTTTTTTTTTACTTATTAAGTATTGTTTTTTATAAAGTGGACACACTTATGATAGTTGGCTGACTTGGGAATTGGATAGTTGCTATTACAATTTGCTCCTTACTATGAATTATTGTAAAATCTAGGAAAAAATTATGACCATCTGTGTCCAAGATGTTCAATATACTGTAGTTAGAAGTTATAAGGCAGTAAAGGCAATTTCTACAACATAACAGACTTCAACTACTACTGGTGGCCAACTGCCTCTAGATTCCTTGCAAAATTTGTTTTCACCCATCTCTTCAGTACTTGAAGCATGCAAGAACATAAAGTTTGGTTTGTAGTTGTGGCCTAGGGATATACATTTTCAAACCTGTGATATCAATGGGTCCCCAAACCTAGTTACATCTGCTTAATTTAAAGAATCTTGGACATTTGTGGTCTGAAAATTGTTCTGAAAATCACTCACTGCAAGGAACATGTTTCACAAGCAACTTTCCAATTCTAAGTCAATAGACTGTCACCAAGCTCTCAAAAGGTGCCCATTATGTAAAACACAGCTATTAAGAGGAAGTAGCAGGTAGCCTAAAGCATTCTGAAAGGATGAGTGCATTTTCAGCTTTCTATTTAATTTTAATTACATTCAGAACAAGTATGGAAAATTATACAAGCCTGAACATGTCAGTCATTACATATTGAATCTTGCATTTAAAATATTCAGTATAAGCTGACAAAGGATTTCTGGGTCAGGAGTATTTTTTTTGGCACTCTCTATAGAAGCAAATATATCATGCCACCATCCTTTTTGTGGTATAAAAAATACATAGCCAAAGTTTTCCCACAGGAATAGAATGTATGATATGAGAACAGTAATAGGTGACATTCTTGGTGCTATCTGCTAACTTATCTGCAAAACCAGTAGAACAAGAGACAACTCAAAGGCAAAGCAATCTCATCTGTATTTTTTTATATAGAAGCTTCAGCTCAATCTACAGAATTTATGATTGTAGCTCTAACCCTGTTCAAGAGCAGGAGCAAAATCCCACTCTGTTGTAATTTCTGCACTTGTTTGCTCTACTGTATCATCTATACTGTACTGTAACATATGATCACTATAAAATATATACAGCATTTGAATGCCAAAGAGAGATGCTGGCTATTGTTAAAATAATTAGAATGATATCCCTACACTTACATTTTGCCTAGAAAGAATACCAGACTTGGACGTCATGGTTTTTCAATGTGATTACTATAGGAAATGTTACAGATGCCCATGAAAATGAGGAAGATGCCAAAGCGAAGAAACACAAGTATCGCCATCGAGATAAGTGAGTTCATGACTGATTGTTTTTCTCAAAGGTTTTTTTTGTCATGCATGTACTCTATCTGATGTGTCCTGGGTTTGCATGCATCAGGCAGTGTTTGTATTGAAATTGGTGCATGAATGCAACTCTAATTTAGTACTTTTGCTCACAAAGTCATGGTATATGTGCAAAGACTTAGCTAAGAATATAGAGTAAACATAACTCAGCAGAAGTCAAGAAATGTATTGAGAAGCAAAACAGGAATGTATGTACTGTGTTTTGACCAAGACCAATCTACCTTGGATTCCTCAGAAGCACTCTTGATCTCGCTCTAACCCTTATTTGGTGTAGGTAATCCACTATACTAATTAAAAAAATACATTTTCACAGTTCTTGTGGTTTTGTTTGAGTTGTCAGTTCTAATAACATCAAAAGGATATAGCTATGTAGATCAATTTAGTCTACAGGTTGTGTGATGGACCCTTTCTTTTACAAGTTTTACAGATTATGAATGACTAAAACAACATTCACAACAGCCTCTGCTGTTACTGCTGCTATGGCAGGTGTGACACCTGTCATGCTGTGGAAAATATATGTCCCAAATAACATGGAGAAGCTTTCAAGTACTGGTATGTTTGGAATGTGATGGTGATCATACAGACAAATATGACTGAAAATTGTTAAAGTAATCTCCACTTCCTGGTCATCCTGAATATAGATGATTACGAGTGACTGAATTCTAACAATGTTCTAGATATGATTTAACACAAATAGCTGTAAGGGTACTGACTTTAGAAAAAGTCAGACTCTGGAGGTGCATCCCCTGAGGCCATGTATTTTCAGGGGGACATTTTCCAAGAAATTCAGTATGAATGTACTTGTTGAGATGCTGATTTCAGGAAAAATCATACTTTTAGAATATACTCTCAGGGCCGTACTTTTGGGGGACATTATGCCAGAAGTTAGTTCCTGTGAACAGTGAAAGCTGAAATTCCATAAACACATAGTTTCAGGAAATTTAATTTCAAGGAAAATCCTACTTTTGAGGTCTATTCCCTCAGGGTACACATTTTTGCATGGAGACTTTTGCAACACATTTTTTTTACTCTACTAAGCCAGGCAAATGCAAAAAGCTTAAAATGTGGTACAGAAGTATCTATAAGGTCAATCATTTTATGGAACATTCTACTTTTTGCAGTACATCCCTTCGGGTAAAATTTTTTTGAGTCTGCCTAATGTCAGATAGCTGCAATTTTAATAATTGAGAAATTTCAGTAGCATTCTTACTGAAGCATACAACATGTTAAAGAACCACTGGAACCACAAGAAAATGTATGTCAATATCCAACACCTGCAATTATGTAAGGTACAAAAGCATTTTGAACAGTCCCCATGGCATTGCAACCCTTACAAAATGACTAAATTGATAAATATCTATTATGTCGATCTGTCCCTGCTCTTCCAGACACAGACATGCAAAAGAAGAGGATCCATCATGGAGGATGCGAGCTGGATCTGAAATTCATTTTCCTGAGCTCAGACTCCCAACTGAAGTTGAAGAAGCAAGCATGTTACCACAAGGAGATTTGGATGATATCGCAAGTATGAGCTTTTTTGCAGTCCAATGATTTGCCTGGGCATCTCATGAACTCATTTATTTAACCCTGTTTTAGGTCACCGCTATGATCAGATGAAGCACACCAGGAGACATAGGAGCACTCATGGAGTCCTCAATATTGTAAAGAAAGAAGGGACAGACTTGATGCCCTCTCTTAGGAAAGTTTTTGATCGTCAACCCCATGAGGTGAGATTGTTTTTCAGTATGGCATAGTTTTCTCAGCTGTGATCACCTTGGTCTGGTTTGATGACTGCCTAAAGTGTTTTCATGGTTATTGGGTGCTTCAAGACTTCATGCCCATATGGGCATGGTTCACTCATTTGAAATATTTTTTTAATTCTGAACAAGAAATTGAGTCTTTGCATCCAAATATACTATTTGGGACAAATTTTGCTCATTGCAATTACTTTTTTAAATGTGGCTATTCACTATCAAAATACTAATGTATCCATATCAATCTATGTCCCTCCAATTGTGGCATGATGCTAAATTGTTGTGTTTGTGTGTTTCATTTTATTTCACTATTTTATAATGAAAACAACAGCAATATTCTCATATTCTTGATTTCGTCATGTCTTTGACATCTCTGTAACACAGGTGAAACAATTCCATCAGTATCAGAAAATTATGTAATATAAAAGCCTTTAAAACATTTTTCTGAAAATAAACAGTAGTTCAATGGTGCTACTCTCCGGAGGACACGGACTGTTACAGATGCCCAGCATTTGAATTTGAGTGGTTAATTTTCAAAACTTCATGACTGAGCCAAAGCATGGACTAATTTTAAATGAGCAGCATTTGAGAGAACACCAGAAGAAAAAACCAATGGTAATATTTTCTTGATAACCAAAGCAGGTAGACTGGAGAAATATCAACATTTCCATGATTTCCAAATGTTCAGAAATGCAATTCTTTCATCCTTTGAAAGCCTGGCAGAATATTGATGCTGGCACTGTGTGCATCATGTGTAACTGGATCACCCAACAGTTGAGGAAAAAATCCCAGCTGATCAGCAGTAACTGTTACTAGTAATTGCAAAGCTGTTGATCGATCAGTCTGGAAATGGGATTTTTCACAAGAATCATTGTCCTTAGAGTGCAAAGTGATTGTTGTGGTTACAAATGATTCTAACACCATAGTCATCAACAGTTTGCTGTTGAGATTCTTAAGTAGTAAAACAAGGTTCACGCAGTGTCTAATTTTTTCTGAAAGTTGCTATCAATGACCTCTATAATAAAGTTAAAATCTGATTTCTTAAACTGATAAAGTTGTTTGATCAGAATTGAACTAGAATGGTATGAGATGCACCTGCATAGATCTACTCAGAGTTCCAGGGGACCTTTTTACAAAGTTTCAACACTCCCTGAGAAATGGACTGGAATTTGTTTTTGGCAGATATTTGTGGAGCTGGATGAGTTGACTCAAGTTGGAACTGAATGGGAATGGAAAGAGAAGTCCCGCTGGATCAAGTATGAAGAAGATGTTGAAGAGGGGTCTAACAAATGGGGGAAGCCCCATGTTGCCACTCTGAGCTTCCATTCCCTTCTGAATTTGAGGAAATGTCTTGAACAAGGTCTCTTCACATCACCATCTCAGAAATTGTTATTTCATTTCTATGTGAGTTTTTTCTAATTTCAGAAATTAAGCAATCTTTGCCCTTTGTTGTAGGTGTGGTGCTTTTGGATATGGATGCAGAGGATCTGCCTGGAATTATGAATAGAACTGTTGAACAGATGGTCATCAGTGATCTGATTCACCCAGAAGACAAAGGGGCTATCTTGCGTCTTCTCCTTCTCAAGCATAAACACGTTGATGACCATGAGGGCCTCATCTTCAGGCTCCGTCGTAATGCTCATAGTTCTGCCAGCCTGCATGTAGGTTTCATCAGATATTTTCCCATTGTTGAAGTCTGTTGCCATCTTACATGTATCACTGATTTTTATTTAGAATCTGAATGAGAACAGGTCATGGCCAAAGCTGGTGCCATCTTTGACCAATCTTGCAAGTCATGATCACGGCCATCATGCTCATTCAGCTCTCCCATTGTCAAACCATGGTGCCCTCTTAACCCCAGATGGGAATTACCACAGAGGAAGTTCCTTTGGATTTGGAGCTCACAAGAGTTCTGGCACCAGCAAAGATGTACAGGTATGGCCTTCACAACTGGACATGACAATGATTCAGTAAACATACTTTCTTGGTGGATTGGTGAAAGATTAAGTCAATATGCATGAGGAGCATGTGGGCTCATCCAGAGTGTCAAGTGTGACATTCAGAATAATATATTTTGCACACAAATTGTATTTAACAATATTAAAAATGACAAACCAGCATATAAGGCTGCAAAAATTAACCTTATTCATTGACTGGAAATTCCATAAGCCAAAGTCTTGCTTGCTCTCTATTGCTAGAAATGCATCTGCATGGGATGAAAAGAGTCAGATGCAATATTTCATGAAACCTAAGGTTTAAGTCAGTTGTTCTAGTAGTCACATTTCTGTGATATTTGGGAACCCACCAATTAAGAATTATGTTCATTCTATAGATGAAAGGAATGAATACATTTATTAGTGACTCTATGATTGCAGTACCATGAAAATAAAGCAAACCTATTCTGTGACTGTGTTAGATTTGACATGTTCTGAAAGTTTATTTGAAAAGGAAAAGTCTGTATACATCTTTTAATGTTTAGTTTAACGTATCATTCATATGTGAACAATTGACATCTCTTCACACCTTAGTTGATTTGAAATCATGCTGACATCTACTCCAGTAGTCCTATTCAATCTCTCTAGATTTCCATCATATCAATGAGTTTCTACAACTTGCTACATTACATGGACAAACAAGTCTTGGACATTTGTACAGAGAGCAATTTTTCTAATAAAGGGTCTTATTGAAGAAGGAAAAAAATCCTGTTATATGAAGCAAATAGTCTTTCATTGGATTAAGCATTAGGCACCTCAAGAAGAAAAAGGCAAGAAAGTCAATCTAAAAGGATGAGCAAGTGGAGGGAGACTATGAGCCAAACCAGAAGTTGATGATAAGGTTGATGCCACCTAGGAAACAGATACTAATGCAGAGTTAGAGTAAATTCTAAAGAAAATTGCATTTGAAAGTTATCTGAATCAAGGCCTATAAAAATGTATGAGCAGGCAGCATTTCATGGGTCCTTATATAGGGTAAACACCCCAGTTTTGGCCATGCTGATGTGACTCCCATAGGAAGTGGACACCCTGTGCACACACTGGGAAACACTATTAATAGGTCCTCGTATGGGAAGATGTTGATAAAATGCTGGAAAATGGCCAGATTAACTAATTATGCTGGGTTTAAGCCTCACTGGCCAACAACTGGAGACTGGCCAGAAATGGGGTGCTTACCCTACTCATTGCCAAAAAAGAGTGTGCAACCAAGGAGTTGAATGATCATGATGAAATTTGGTACTCAATCTCATGAGTGTACCACAGAATTAATTAGAGTTTCAAGGATGTGGGATAAATATTCATAGAGAAACCTCGGCAAACACTCCAATTTCTGTAACCCCTATGAGGTCGTTCTGATCAGCAAAAACAGTAACCTAGAAGAATTTTGTGGATGAAATGTGATTTGAAAACTCCTTAAGATATGTGTAAAAATCTAGCAGTTTCAAGGTCATTGAATGAGGCAATGCAGAGATAACTCACCAAATGTCCGAGGAAGGCAGTGCCAAGATGAATTCTCTGAAGGTGATTTCAACATATTACAAGAATGCTTGATCGATGTAGGCTAATCAGGATGCTTAGTTTGCATCAACTTGATGCAGCATCTCAAATTCACCTATCACTGACCATTTGGCATTCTGTATTTCACCTCCAAGGATCGTTTTTGAGAAGCATTGACATGGAGAAAGTATAAAACAAAAATAAAAAATTGCTTGCATGAGTCCCAGTTTAACCAGTAGCATGGAAGATAAAGGCTTTATGTTATCCTATATGTCTCCAGTTTTTTTTACTTTTTGCTGTCTTAGATTGAGTTGACTGAGGTGCCACCATCACCAGGCATCATACAAAATATCCCAGGAAGTGGCATTATGAGAAAAATTCCCCCTGGAGCTGAGGCAGCAACAGTCTTAGTAGGAGAAGCAGACTTCCTTGAACAACCTGCCATGGCCTTTTTGCGACTTGTCAAAGGCATTATCCTGCCTGGTGTCACTGAGGTGAAATGTTGCACAATTTACTCATGTTATGACTTTTTTTGTGATTTGCTGCTTATTTCATATCCATGTATTTCCTTTAGGTTCCTATTCCAGTGAGGTTTGTTTTTGTTTTGATTGGACCTAGCAGGTCAGACATGGATTACCATGAAATTGGTTGTGCCATAGCCACACTTATGTCAAACAGTGTGAGTTCCATGTCAGTAGTTCTTGCAAATGCATTTCACCAAAGTTTGATCCAATACAAGTATGCATTCCAATTCCCTCCAGGGCTTTCATGATGTTGCATATAAGACAGAAACTCGTCGAGATTTGCTGTCAGCCATCAATGAGTTCTTGGATGATAGCATCGTGCTGCCTCCCGGAGAGTGGGAGAGTGCTCGCCTTTTGCCATTTGATGACATCAAAGCAAAGAGCAGGGAGATACGAAATAGGAAGAAAATGCGTATTGAGAAGGAATTAAAGCAGGAGCAACCACATGTAGTAGTGGGTAAGTCTTGGATTGCTTCTCTGAAAATGCCCAGAATCAAGAAGCCTATGGTTGCTGAACAAATATGTTGCACCTGTAATAGATGCTGCATCTGAAGCAGAGAAGAAGGCAGTGGAAGCAGGTGCAGTTCAACCCACAGGTGCTCCACTTCCTGTTTCTCCTGGGGATGCTGATGATCCATTACAGCGTACAGGACGTCTATTTGGAGGTTTCTTCTCGGATGTCAAGCGTCGATACCCTTGGTACCTAACTGACCTCAGGGATGCAATCAATCCTGTATGTCTTGCAACAGCAGTCTTCATCTATTTTGCTGCATTGTCAGGCGCCATCACCTTCGGAGGCTTGTATGGTCAGTATAAACGATCCTCCTTGTTCTTTGCATACTTTGATTTGAAAATAATCTCTTTTGCATTACATCATTTTGCAGCTGACAAAACAGGAAACTTGATTGGTGTGTCTGAGACCTTGATTGCAACAGCTGGTGTAGGTGTTTTATTTGCATTGTTGGCTGGTCAACCATTGATCATTGTTGGAGCAACAGGCCCTTGTCTTCTCTTTGATGAAAGTTTATACTCGGTATGCATAACTGCTGTCAAAATACAGGGAACTGTCAAAAAATTGATATATTCTATGCATTGAATTGACAATTCTATGCAATTGACTCTTCAAAGTTCTGTGAGAGCCAAGGGATTGACTTCCTGTCGATGCGTGTATGGGTTGGGATTTGGCTCGCCATCATTGGGATCCTGGTCACCATGTTTGAGGGTGCCACATTTGTGAGACTGTTCACACGATTCACTGAGGAAATCTTTGCATCCCTCATCTCTCTACTCTTCATCTATGAGAGCTTCTACAAGCTCTATAATGTAAGGACATTTGATAGATAAAAGATATAATGATGTGAGAATTTTTATTGATAGTGATGCCATTTATCAGGAATCAACTAAAAACCAGTAACATAAGTCTTTTTTCTGATTGCATGGATTCCTCTTTAGGTGTATGTGGAGCATCCCCTGCTGTCCAATTACTGCATCACTCCTGACCCAACAGTCATAGCAATGGTAACAAATATGACAGAAATGGAGATGAATGAAAGCATCATCTACTCAAAGTTGACTGCTATGTCACTCATGCCCACCATTGCTGCCTCCATGAGTGCAGACAAGTATGTAGTGCTATTTTTATATCTTATGTTCAAGTTGCAATGCTCATGATAACCTGTCAACGATAATCAAGGCATCCAAAGTTCTGGAATTTCTGAGCCATAGAGGTTTGAAAACTACAGTATAACAGCTAGTACTCTGATGACAAATTCAGATAATTGAGAGAGCTTATCCAGGTCTTTCCCTTAGAGTTTAGGGCTTTATAAAAAATAATCATAAGCCATTCTCTTCTCTGCTTATGAACTCTACATGCTACATTTCATGGTTCAAAGGTCTGACAAGTCTGTTGGGCTCCTAGATTCATAATTTAACTGGTTTTATTGATTGATATGCCAGAGATGTTCTCATTGATATCATGAGTGAGGCATTAACTTTCATTGAAAAGAAATTTTAAGTGTGATTGTGCTTTATTTATACATAGCCTGAATATAGAAGATGTTCAACAACGAGTGAGACGAGCAGCAGAGAAGTTTGATCCCCTGGAAGCATTCCCTAGGAATCAACCCAACACTGCTCTCATGTCCACAATTCTCATGCTGGGAACATTCTTGGTTGCTTACTTTCTGCGTCATTTCCGTAATTCTAAGTTCTTGGGTCGAAATGTGAGTTTTATTTGCCTGGTATTTGAGAGAAACTGTATGCAATAGAGGCATCTGTAACATACAAAGACCATTTCACCTCCAGGCAAGACGAGCATTGGGAGATTTCGGAGTTCCCATTGCTATTGTCTCCATGGTGATGATTGATTTCTTTGTGGGTGACACCTACACAGAAAAGTTGAGTGTCCCTGAAGGTTTGAGTCCATCCAACCCAGATGTGAGAGGCTGGGTCATCAGTCCAATGGGCACTGGCTTGTTTTCAATACCAATTTGGCTTATCTTTGCTGCCAGTCTTCCAGCTATTCTGATTTTCATTCTCATCTTCATGGAGACTGAAATCTGCGAGTAGGTGTTCCTCTGTATATTCCTTTAAGTTTCTATTTAGTTTGTTCATATGCAACTTCTCATGAATCTCCATGCCAGACTGATCATAAACAAGAAGTGCCAAAAGGGTTCAGGCTATCACATGGATATTCTCATCCTATGCATTTTGAATGTGGGCTGTGCTATCATTGGTGCACCATGGCAACCTGCAGCAACTGTCCGTGCTGTATCCCATGTCTCTGCTCTCACCATCTACTCCCAAAATCAAGCTCCTGGAGAAAAGCCCAAGGTGGTGGAAATAAAAGGTAGAAATTCTTTTTTTTGGTGCATGAATATTTTGATTCCCAGCATTTTTGACATGACAGTTCATTGCACTCATGAATTCAGAGACACCGTTGGTCAAAATTGCAATATTGTCACAGACACCAATCTTTGAACTTTCCCCACCACAAGAGCATTACAAGCTCTGAGATGAATTCATATTGACATCTCCAGCCAAACAAGACACTGACAGATTTCCTAGATGAAAATTCTGAAATGCACCTGTTGTCAATTGCAGTTCAGGAACTAGTAATGAAATTGAAATGTCAGCCATTCTTTTGATCATGCCAAACCATATTACTTTTGCAGCTCTCATTATTATCCTGAGTTAATTTGTCTCTACAATGAAAAGTTACCCTTCCTGGTAGTTTTCTTTCCCTGTAGATATTTTTGTCATATCCAGCACCATTCACATAAACACTCAAATTCGCACATGAACAATGCACCTCAAAAAATGACAAAAATGACATTAATTCATTATCTCCCTTCTTGCACATTTTTTCGTCTCTCATTCTCTCTTATTTGCAAGCAAGTGCCTTGCTATGCAAACTTGGCATGATCTGTGTCAGTCACTAGATATTGCAACAAAGGAGGCTTGTGATTAATAGTGCAAGAACAGAATAAGCTTGCCAATGCCACAATGTCTGCAATGAACTGTCCACAACCATTTTGGTCATGATAAAAGCACCAGTTTTAGAATCTTTCAAATCTGGTTATGACTGTGCTCCATTTCCTGTGTTTAGAGCAAAGAGTTACCAGTTTGGTGGTGGCCATTTTGGTTGGGGTATCTGTGGCCATGGCTCCTATCCTCAGAAGAGTTCCTTTGGCTGTCCTCTTTGGAGTCTTTCTATATATGGGAATATCTTCTACCAATGGAATCCAGCTATTTGAAAGGCTCAGACTCCTCTTTATGCCTGTAAAGCACCATCCCAGTGTCAACTATGTCCGAAGGGTACAGTACTTAATTTTTTTTTTCCATTCCTTGCCTTGACTGTTGTCCTTGGAAACCTAATTCATATCAACCATATTTTTCTTTACCACTGATCACACAGGTGAGAACATGGAGAATGCACATGTATACTGCAATTCAGATCCTTTGCCTGGCAGTTCTTTGGACAGTCAAGTCAACACAGGCTGCTCTCGCTTTTCCATTTGTCCTTCTGTTGATGATACCAATTCGAAAACTTTTGACAAAATTCTTCACACCTCGGGAGTTACAAGCAGTGAGTGAATTTCCCTGACATGTACTCACTTATCATGGGCACAGTTTTACTCTGAGACTCATAATCTGTGTCTTGCTATTTCAGCTGGATAGCAAAGGAGAAACAAAAGCTGATGATGATGATGCTGAACCTGACTTCTACGTTCAAGCCCATGCCTGGACAGCTTCAAATTGAGGTTCTCTTCATATTTTTGCATTTAAACTTGCATTTTTTAATGTATGGAGGAAACCTTGAAGAGGGCTGGAACCTGAAGGTGCTGCTTCAAATTTTTTTTATCCTGAAGCAGAAAGAAGCAGGAATTAATGAGACTGGCGGCATATTTTTGTGATTTTTGCTGCATTTTGTGAGAGGATTCCATTTTTAATTGTTTACATTTTAAGGTGAATGTTTGTGCAATATGAAAAATTCATGTGCAGAAATGTTGTAGAGCATGAGCAAAGTGTCATAATACTGTATTTCATTCCATTCTTTCGTGATCTGTTCCGTCCATTTTGATCTGTCTAGGAATTCTTATTTGGGAGTAAAAAATTCCTCATTGCAATTTTTCCCCAGAGCATGTCTTTCACTGTGCCAAACATATAGCATGAGTAATGACATAAAAATCTGTGTGCTACTGCCCAGAATGTCCTCCTGCTGTGTTCCTGCTGAAGGTCTTCCACTTTCAACGACAATATCTTGTACAGTATGTTGTACTTCAGGTCTTCACTTTTTGTGATGAGCCCTTGTATGAAAGAGAACCTTGACTACGCTTCCCAGTGACTCATGGAAATCCTTCATTTTCTGTTGTCTTTTGGTCCTTTCTATCCCATCTTTTAGAGTTTGTGTCTTTAAGACAACTTGGAATGCATTTGTTTTTGTTTTCTTTTTTATTCCCATTCTGATGCAACAGTTGTTTAGGGCTCTAAAGGAAGCTGTTTTTCTTATCCAATTGGTATATTTTAATATTCTCATCTGTTGAATTAACTTGATGCTTTTAGAACCTACAGGTCATCTCATGAATTTGGATAGTTCCAGAAACATTCTTATGAAAGTTTTTGCTTTGGTATTGCTTCTGCATTTTATTGTGCTCTCTTGCTCTTATTCTCTGTACATTTCATCATTTATTTGAATAATTGAAAGCATTAAAATTTTAAGTCTCAGTTTGAAATAAATAAATGCATATATATATGTATATGAGTACATATTTTGTCACAGTCCTAAGAGTTCTCTTCTTTCCCAGTGCATACTGAGGAACAGATTAAATTGATAGGACTTTTGGTTGATGATTATGCAATAGTGAACAAGAAAAGCAACTTAGATCCTGCTTTGGTCCATTTTTATTCCAGTTTTATCATGAGGTGGCACCCAACAATCCTATGCACCTCATTTTGAATCATGTGCCAGTTGTAATTATCCATTTCGTGTTGTTTTTGGTTGAGTACCCCTCATATGGGGTGAGAAGATACATGAGAAGCATGAGGAAGAACTATGATTTCCAGCCATGACTCAATGAGCCAAACTTTTCGGTTCATGGGCCATAGGTTCCCGACCCCTATTTTAACTTTTAGACCTAGTGTTTTCCCATAGCCACATTGAAATGGGTTCATTTTCTGCCAGCACATCCTAAACTTAACCCCGAGGCATCCATCAAAAACATAAAAAGCCCTATGCATATTTTGGAACATCTCATTGGTTGCCTAAGTACTTAGAAGCTGGGACATCCTGAAGATGTTCCTTCGGACGCGTGGAAAAATCCCATAGAAATCCTGTCTCGAGAGGATTCCAATTGGTATATTTTGAAGATTCAAGTTTTACTCTTGAAGACCTCTTTCAGAAATTCGAGATGCATTCGACAGAAGAGGCATTTAGGATATCTCTCTAAGACCTTTATACAAGTCACCCAATTTGACATTTCTAAGGTGCAGGGTGAGTACTTCGTGGTCTGCAGTTGGTATTTAGCCAACTCGCATAAAATTTTATAGTGGATCATTCGGGTGTGACCTTTTTCAGTACAAGAGCAATATGCCATCAACGAAGAAGTCGTTATCATTGAGAAATAATCTGTTGTGCCAGCCCTGCCTTTGCATGGCCACTGTTCACTGAGAGATATTTTACACGATATGTGAGTGCCCTGTTTTATCTCTAGTACTTGATGAGATGCACTTCAACTTTCCCTTAATGATCGGTATTGTTGAATAAAAAATTATATTTGGCATCAAGGCGAAGCTGATGCCATTATCTTCCAAACAATTTTTTGGAGCCCCTTTTTCATATTGCCCATCGACATGGCAAGGCTGGTCACGCCCTATAAATTCCGACATGGAGGTAAATGTGATCATGCCTAAGGTAAGGTATAACTGCAAAACTCAATCCTTAAGGTATTCGAGTTCTGGAATTTTGTGCTAACCTATTATCCTGTGAACCCTCGCAAAAAACTTTCCCCAGAGGTAAAATTGGGACTGAAACTGAGGGGGGAAAAGAAAAAAAAAAGTTTTTTCCCTGTCTCTCAACCTGTCAGAAAACCCTTCAGGTAAAGATTAGGGGGGAAAGCAGTGAAATTCGGACGAAGGAGGGGGTAACGTTTTGTATGGGAAGGGCTTCCCTCGGAGACTCGGATCCACTCCGTTCCAAAATTTTGAAGCCATCCTTTCTTGGATAAAGTTTCCTCTCCCATTGACACGTGTACCAGCCTGAAACAATAGAATTTTATCTATCCTCACTGTGAAATTTTGATGATCTGAGATGAGAATGAAGTCCCATATCGCGAGACCTCTACAGCCATCAACATCAACGCCCTATTTTTACGGAAACGTTTTAAACATATATGATTACTATAGGGTGGTCCAAAAAAAAGTTAATTAAATTGTATTTTATTTTATCTTATTTTCATTTCAAATGATTATAACTGAACCGAAATACGTCAGAATTCAGTGCAGAAGCGAATATCTATAGTAGAGCACTATTTCCGTAGTTATGGTTCTAGTCTCTAACCATACGCGTAACAGTCGCTCGAAAAATTTACATTTCCTTGGATATTCGACGTTTACTGTACCCTGCATCCTGTATTTCTCCACGTTATCTTTTTAATCCAAAGGAATGTATCACAGTTACGCAAATAAATATATAGCAGTGAAGGTTCTGGTCGTGAGGCGGGAGGGAAGAGCAGTATTAGTGAGTGGCTCTCACTACCTCAGGTCATTCTCAATATGCCCTGACTATTCCAACATTATTGGACCGCTGCGCGTCATTGTCATCTACATGGGCCTCTGCACAATAAGACCGTACACTTATAATCGTCCTGGTTTGGGTTTTCCTTGAAACAACCGTACTTAATTAACGAAAAGGTTTGGGACATAACATTGTATTGAGGCGGATTTCTCGTGGGTCAGAGAAGGGATCTGCGAATTAGTTGTAGTGAACTGTAGAGACAAGAGATCGTTGGCTGTTGCTTGCATTCTTGAACACTATAGAAGCTGAGATCCAAGATAGTTTATCTTATTGGCAATAGATGTATCTGGCATGAAATCATCATTTATGACTTACCAGGAGCTCTTCGGTCGGACTCTGTGGCATGCAATTCCTCCTATGAATTTGAAATGTCTTCACTAACCACATTTGCCGTCAGCGATTGGGTGGATTCGACGCTTGAATTTGCCTTTTCGCATCAATGATCGACTGTACGGTTGCATCGCGCGAAATGCACATGCTCAATTTTGCTACTCGCAACGTTGGCTTTCACAGCATCCCTCGAATGGAGGGTTCTCATTTGTCTGGTTTCACCTGCAATGTTGCCCCCGTTTTTTGTGGAAATGTTTTGAAAATTTGTGACAATTTAGCTACCGGTCTACGATCTCTAAGGAATCTGTCCAGGAAGTGGTTTGAATCCTCCAAGTAACTGTAACTCATACCGTCCGTCGCCTTTTTAGTTCCTTCAGTTATAGAGGAGCATTCCTTCTGAAGGGATTCGACTGCTCGAAAGGCAATAAACCCATGAAAACTCGTGGCACCCTTGATTTTGCTTGAGCCAATCACCGAACAAAATTTATTCGACATATTCTTTTCCACATTTGAGAACCGTGAGACTATTTTCTACGAATGACGGGCAAAAAGTTTTGAAAACGAGACAATAAAAATATCCAGTCACCCATACTATATCATTTTTCGTTTTAGTCTCCCCTAACCAAAAAGCACTTACTCTATTCTCCCCTCATCGAATTTCCAAGAGGTATTATTTTCCCAAGTAATACGATTAATATAATTATTCTGAATGGCCCTCAAACCACGTTTCCACGGCGTCTGTCAACGATTCACGGTCCCCGAATCAGGTACCAAGTAGGTGAGACTTCATGTGTTGGTACGTATAATAGTCACTTTAGTCAGGAGCTAGATCAGGGCTGTAAGGTTCTTTTAAAACCCACTCTCACGAATTGTGGCCTGGGTAAGACTGGAGCTAGAATCGTGCTAGAGCAATATACTGCTCGTCTACATTCCTCGACATCCGGATGTATTGCTTCAATTTCGGCATCAAGTTAGGATAGTACCGGCCAGTAATAGTGGTTGGTTGAAGCATGAAGTCAGTCAGCGATAGTCCCGTCGAATCCCAAGTGGCCGTGATCTTACCAGCTGATGGTTGTATGTGGAATTTCTTTGAAAGAAGACCCTGTTGCTTCCACAGCATGGATCTGAGCTTGGTTTCTGGGTCCCAGTGGTGAATCTAGGCTTCGTTCCGTCACTTAGCAAATATGAAAGTAAACTAGATTGGCACTGAAGAGGACCAGAAGCCCACGACTTAGTTGAAGGTGTTGAACTGATGGCGATCATGAGCACAGAGGTTTCAGAGGACCCACCGAGCAGACACTTTAGACATGCGTAAGTCGTTATGTATAATTGTGAAAAGTCTTCCATGAGAAGCTCCTCCTCCTCGATCTCTGCCACCGTCATTCGCCGATCGTCCATAGTCATCGCTTCGACGCGAGGATTTGTTTCTGGATTGGCTGCATGAGAAGGCTGACCAGACCTTGGGTCATCTTCCATCGACTCACGCCCCCTTTTAACCCTTTCAGACCTGGTGGCATGAGGGTTGACTGTCTTTTATTCCCAAAACTTTTTCATCGCTCCTCGTACCATGTCCTATGGAATTGCATTACGGCCTTATTTTTTAGAGTGAAAGGCGTCATCGGTTGGCCCACCTGATTCTCAGCACGGAATTTACTAGGGTGAACCGGAAACAAGCATGGATTCCAATCGGCGCAGGGAAATCCCGGTGTATTGGATTTTGCCTATCTCAAAGTCATCAAACTCGATACTTGAGATTCTTCGTAAATTTCGCAACTCTCTTAGCCTGCTTCAGCGCAAGGCATTTGCACATGGAACAGCCATGTTGGAAGAAATAAAAGAACAGCTACTCGAGCAGGCCCGTCTGGTCCCTCGACCAAACTCGGTCCAGGTCCACTCCGGTCCGAAACCAGATCGTGACGGAACAGATACAGTCCTCCACCGATTCCGCGAAGACACCACGCAGGAAATTAGTCAAAGAATTCAAATCCGACCGGATGTTGCCATGAGTGGAAATAGCCACTTCGCTTTAGGGTGCGAAAGGAGACCTTTTACTCGAAACCAATGTCTGAATGTCTGAACCAATGTCATTGGTCTGAAAAACTTTTCATTTATAAAACGATCTGCAAAAAGAAGTAATTACCCCAGTTGCTGTGAAGTTCAAATTATCTCTCCTGTTGTGTGTTCAATTTTTATAATGGAATGACGTCCAGGTATCTCAGGTCATACTCGGTCAACGATGGAGCATTTCCTACTCTTCAGTAAAGGCCACCTCAATATGCACAGTAGGTTTACATGTTTTGGTCCATATTTCCCAGCTTGCTAAGGGTGATAAGTAAGTGTTATGAAGAGAACCCTGTCTTTCTTTACCTCTCAAGTGCAATGCGTGTCCGTAACTTCTTCAGTATCCTTCAATGATGCAAAATAATCTTGGAGGTGCTAGATGCAGTGGGAAAACCCGGAAGTTGGCTGTGATTTCCTGTCTTCTCTCGAGCGTTCCCTTCTTTCCTTTTTATATTACCTTTCTTCGAGATTGAGAGAAAGATTGGCACGAGATCTGTGCAGGCAGAAAAGTCTTGGCACTGTCACACTCGTGGCTCATGCATGGCGAGGAACTCGTCATGGCCATCTCCCTCGGAAATCCACCGACACAGTAAAAG